CCGGTGATATGGAGCAGGTACTGAGCCCAGGTCCAAGACACTTTGTATATTTCACTCTCATTGATTGCCCTTTGGGACTTTGAGAGCATCAGGTGAAGAACTTTGGGCTACTATCCTGGGAGATGAGTGACCACCAGAAGGGAGACAAGCCGTCCCAGCTGAAGACGCCTAGACTCCCCAGCTGGACAGACAGCAGTCACGTGAGGGAAGCCATCCAGCAGCATGTGGCAGCTGGCCGGCTGGCCACAGGTGCTGGATGGAGCCCCACTGTGATCACCTGTCTGGCTTCACCTAGAAGAATGTGACCTAGAAACTGAATGGCTAGGGAAAGTCTGTGCCTAGGTTGGGGGGAAGGGTGTGCATATATGGGAGCAGAAGATACACGGAAAATCTCTATACCTTCCTCTGAATTTTGCTCTGAACCTAAAACGGCTCTCATACTGTTTTTAATTATTAAAAATTAAAATAGGGGCACCTGGGGGACTCAATCAGTTGAGCATCCGACCAGTCATGATCTCGCAGTTCGTGGGTTCGAGCCCCGCATCTAGTTCTGTGCTGACAGCTCAGAGCCTGGAGCCTGCTTCGGATTCTGTGTCTCCCTCTCTCTCTGCCCCTCCCCTGCTCATGCTCTGTCTCTCTCTCTCAAATAAATAAACATTTAAAAAAAATTTTAATAAATAAACTAAATTAAAGTAATTTTTGTTTTTATTACTTTTTAATGTTTTTATTCATTTTTGAGAGACAGAGTGTGAGAGGGGAAGGGGCAGAGAGAGAAGGGGCAGACAGAATCTGAAGCAGGCTCCAGGCTCTGAGCTGTCAGCACAGAGCCTGACATGGGGCTTGAACTCATGGACTGTGAGACCGTGATCTGAGATGAAGTCAGAGGTTTAATCAACTAAGCCACCCAGGCGCCCCAAAAATTAGAATAATTTTTTTTAACAGTTGGTTGCTTTAAGGTACTACGTTTTGGCATGGTTCATTACACAGAAAGAGCTAACCAATACACTAAGTAAAGATAGTTAGGTGGCTTGACCTTGCATTGGCCTTAATGGTTTGTTTGTTTTTTTTGTTTTTTTTGTTTTTTTTGCCAAGGCCCAGATTCTCAGAGGCTTTATGCTCTAAGGAAATTAAAAAAATAAAAAAAAATATATATAATTGCATTAATTTTTGCATTAATTTTTTTCTATTGTTCACAGAAAAAAAAGATTTTTTTCTATTGTTTTTCACTCCTGGGATTTTTTTAATGTTCACCTCTCTCCCACAGGTATATGAATTTCCTTGTTGTTTCTTCTATTACAGAAAACCTGGTGTATTTCACACACATGGTTAATTACAGGGGCAATATGTACACAGGCAAAACTGTGGTTGGAAACTTTTAATTGGGCATACAAGTGGCCACCTAGATGTTCAAATTAAATGGTTAGCCATCCAACCACTACTTTGTAAAAAGCAGGGGAAATTTCTCCCACAGCTGTTCATGATCTCAAATGATGTCTAAAGTTCAATCTATACAACAGTCGCTGAGATCAACTCTTCATTCCCTCACTCATTTGTTCATTCAACAAGTTCTTCTTTTTAAGATTTTATTTTTAAGTAATCTCTACGCCCAACGCGGTGCCTGAACTTACAACCCTGAGTCCAAGAGTCACGTGCTCCACCGACTGAACCAGTCAGGCGCCCTCATCAACAGAGTTCTTGATCGCCTATTGTGCGCCAGGCACTTGGCCAGGGGTATGGGATGCAGCAGAGAACACGAGCTAGCTGGTCCCTGAGATCATGGAGCACGTGGTCTACACACTGAAGGCTCTGAATCTTTGAATTTTCTTGGTTAAGGTCAACTCTAGAAAATTTTATTAGCCACCTACACTTTGAAGACTGTCAGATGAAATGAGACCAAAGAAAGAATTGTTAAAAGTTGTCTTGGCAATTCTTTAGGATACAAAATAATGAATTTTCCTGATAGCTTTTCTTTTTTAAGCAATTACCTGATTTTTGAATAAACAAAGAATATGTTGTTTTGAGCACTGAAGGTACATCCAGCCACATGATGCACTGTGTGGGGGTCTGAAGCTAAACACATTCAGTGCAGCTGGAGAATTGTTAACAACCATCCACATAACTGAGGCCTCTTGAACACTAACTCAAAAGAAAGTAAACTTTAAAAAACATTTTTTGGAGGGGTGCCTGGGTGGCTCAGTCAGGCCCTGTGCTGACAGCTCGGAGCCAGAAGCCTGCTTCGGATCCTGTGTCTCCCTCTCTCTCTGCCCCTCCCCTGTTCATGCTCTATCTGTCTCTCTCAAAAATAAATAAACATAAAAATTACTTTAAAAATTTTTTTGAGATATAACTGAGATATTACATTATGTTAATTCCAGGCATACAACATGATGATTCAGTATTTATATGTATTGTGAAATGATCACCACACTAAGTCTACTTAACATCCATCACCACACACAGTTACACATTTTTGTCTTGTGACAAAAACTTCTTTAAGATCTGCTCTGAGCAACTTTCCAATAGGCAATATGGTATTATTAGCTAATAGTCACCACATCCCCAGGACTTATTATTAGTAATTTTTGGTTGGAATGAGTTGGATGGCTTTCTCAGTTTTCCCCCCATCATCATGACGGGAAGCGGGCAAAACGGTGTCTAGATCCTTCACTCAACAAATAATTTTGGAGCTATGGCCATTGTTTGGGGGTTGTTCTCATAGCTGGGGACACAGCAGTGAAGAAAACGAGACATAAACTGTGCCCTCTTGGAGCAGACATTTTAAGCTGAGGCAATGCCTTAATGCAGTAAATATGGAAAATCCCTATCATTCGAGATCATAGTAAGTGCTGTCTAGGGGGATCGTGTAGCCCATCTGTGATGTTGGACACATGTTATTTTTTTTTTATTTTTTAAAATGTTTATTTATTTTTGAGAGAGAGAGAGAGAGAGAGAGAGCGAGTGGGAGGGGCAGACAGAGAGGGAGACACAGAATCTGGAAGCAGGCTCCAGGCTCCCAGCTGTCAGCACCAAGCCCGACGCGGGACTTGAACCCATGAACCATGAGATCATGACCTGAGCCTAAGTCGGACACTCAACCGACTGAGCCACCCAGACGCCCTCTGACACAGGTTGTTTACTGTGTGACTGCCAAATACTCCCGATACAATCCTAATCGTCTTTTTTGTTCTTAACAATTTATGTTTTAAATATGAATTTCACTGTTTGATCTTTTTTGTTTTTTTTCATGTTTATTTATTTTTGAGAGACAGAGCATGAGCAGGGGAGGGGGCAGAGAGAGAGACACAGAATCTGAAGCAGGCTCCAGGCTCTGAGCTGTCAGCACAGAGCCCAACGCGGGGCTCGAACCCACAAACCATGAGATCATGACCTGAGCTGAAGTCAGCCACTTAACCGACTGAGCCACCCAGGTGCCCCTTGTCTTTTTTATTTTATAGCGAAGCAGATGCTGACCACAACTTCTGTCTTTGTTCAGTTCGGACTGACAGCTATGTGTTGAGCTCTGACAGGCACAGGGAGGGGAGAGAGACAGTGGTGAAGAACACATTTCCTGCCCCTAAGGAGTAGCAGGCCCATAAGTAAATAAATTCAGTATAACTTGGTCGGCCCTTCCTGGACATAACTGTAACACCCATGTGTTCTGGAAACTGCTGAGGTTCCTCTTGAAGTAGAGGAGGGAGTGTCCAGTGAAGAGGCATGGAAAGGACACTCCAGGTGGCTAAAAACAGCAGAGCAAAGGCCAGGGGGCTGCCATCTGCTCCAGAGGAACGCCAGGAGTAGAGATGGGTAGCTCTCTGATATTCACAGATCACAAAATGTGAAGTGGATATCGCCACAGTACGGGAAGCTACGATGGCAAAAGCTTTTCTATAGTAAATCCAAAATTCAGTATGCCACAGTTTCTACTTTCATAGAATTCTTCGACAGAGAAGTATAATGGAAAAATAAAACCATCTTTTTTTTTTATTGTAAGGGACTTTATTTTTTTAATGCTTTTTATTTTTATTTATTTTGGAGAGAGAGAGAGCCCATGTTGGGGAGGAACAGAGAGAGAGACAGAGAATTCTAGAAGGCTCTGCACTGGCAAAGCAGAGCCCAAGGTGGGGGTGGAGTGGGGAGGGGGGGCTCGAACCTATGAACCTTGAGATCATGACCTTAACCCAAATGACGCTCAACCAACTGAGCCACCCAGGCACCCCTAAACCATGTCTTCTTCACTCCCATTGAAGTTTTTTCCCTTTCAAAATCTTTTAAATAAAATCCCTCTTTACCATGGAATCCATGCTATTGATTTGTTTTAAGAAAAGATCTCTCCTAAAGAAAGAAAAACCATCTTTGATCTCACTTGACAAAAAGAACTAATCAAACAATACAGTCTAGGAGGGGCGGGGGGGGGGGGAATAAGCAAGCTTCTTTGAGCCACATCAAATATATGACAGAGAAAATGCTTAATTTAAATGCTGAAAACTAACACAAAACAGCTTGAAATGTAATAACCTCTGCTGAATAAGTGAAACCACATGTTGATTTGACATGATTTTCCAAGACACAATTAAAGGTCACCTCGTGTGCACACATCTATTCTGCACTGAGCCGCTTGAGTTTGTTTTCGGCCACAGCGGGGCAGGTGCCGCAAGCCGGCCCGGTCCGCGGAGGTGCCCCCAAACCCGGGGTGAAGGTCATAAGCGCTCCACGGCCCCCGAAGCCTGAAATCTAACCGGCCCGGGAAACCCCAGCCCCGGATTTCGGCCGTCCCTGCCCTCAAGTCCTCGGAGACAAGAACTAAATGCATTTGGCAATCCTTGCTAATTCAGAGCCAAGAGCCCTCCCACGGAAGTGGCCTCACTCAAAACTGAAAACCCAGCTTCCTCTCGCCCCTGCCCACCTTTACCTTCTCCAGGCTCCTGGGCCCACGGAGAGAAGTGTGGGTGCTCCCCTGGGGACCCAGGGGCGTCCCAGCCCCCCCCCCCCACTCCGGAGGTGCATTTGAAATGATCGCCAGGCAGCTGGCAGGTTTCCGTTCAAGAGTCTTGCGTGGAAAGACAGGGTATTTGGAAAGTGACTTTTTTAAACGCTCTTCCCACCCCCACCCCCACCCCCACCCCCACCCCCGGCTTGTCTCCTCTTTCCACGTCCCTTTAAGAAAGGATGTGCGCAAGGAAGACTTCAAAGTGGTTTCTTTCAAAAGGGAAATCGCATCTAGAAAGCTTTTTTTTTTTTCTTTTCAGAATGAGAAACAAATTATTTGATTTGAAAGAGAAGTAAATCTTCAGAGCAACGAGGGAGGATCAAAGAGTAAGTTCGTGTGAACTTAAGAAGTGACCCTTTCCAGGGGAACGTGACTGGACTCTTTCCACGCACTCAACGCATCTTGGAGGTAGTGAGTTTGCTAGAGAATCGGAATAAAGAAGCTAGTCTGCGTTCCAGAAAGTCACGTGATCTCTCTCTCTCTCTCTCTCTCTCTCTCTCTCCCCCCCCCTCCCTCCAGCCAGGCTCTGTGCCTCAACTTCTACAGTCACTCTGGCCCCTGCAGCGTGTTGCAAGGTGAAGGTCTTTGCACACTTGGGGGAAATTCGTGGGTGGGGGGGGGAGGCAGAAAACGGCTGAGAACCAGGCCACCCGAGAGGGAGCCGCTGAGTCTCCGGGTCCCCCCGCCCCCGCCCTCCGCGCCGCAGCCCTGCGCTCTCCCCGCCTCCTGCTCTCTGGACCCGGCAGGTGAGCCCACCCCGCAGCAGATGGTTGAGGAATCTTGGCGTGTTTTCCTTGTATTTTTAATTATTCAAGCTATACCTAAATATCTCCCTCTTTAAAAAAATAAAAAATAAAGTCTCAAAGCCAAGCACCCCCCTTCCCCCCCCCCCCGGAAAACCTCCTTTCCCTTAGGGGTGAAATCACCTAAGTGTATTTTTCTTTCCTACGTTCTAGCTCCCTCGTTGCCCGTCCACACCAAGTGCGATTCTCCATATACCTTAAGACGATATAAATGTATGCAGATATTCTCTATCAATATAAATAGAAGAAGGAAATAGCACACTTAAAAGCAGAACATTTTCACATAAATAAAAAACAACCGAAAAAACCCCCGATATCAATTCCTGGTCCTTCTAAAAAAGTCCAGTAAAATTAAGACACATCTTTGGCTGGATGGGTAAGAAAAGGGAGAAGGAAAGTACTCACAACAACATCAAGAATAGCAAGAAATGTAATTACACGCAGAGAGCAGATTTTTTACCTTTGTGGATATTACTATGTTCCATTTGGCTTGAAAAATCTACCGGGAAAAAAAATGAATTAACACATTAGCCCGGTAAGGTGTTCTGTTTACAGCTGGAAGTATTACTTTTCCTTACCTACCTGTTGAATGTAGTATCTGTGAAATGCTCAGTGTCGGAAATTGGGGGGGGGGGGGGTCAGGGAAAATACTTTCCTCATGAACTTGGATATTCTTAGGAGACAAGAAGGGACCAAGAGTCTAGAATTTCATCTATAAAAATAATATCAAGCTTTCGGAAGTTTCTGTAGTAGGTAAGTCATGATATTGGTGAGATGAATTTTCTCAAGAATTAAACTGATATTTAATATATTTGGAGACACTTATGATTTAATCAGGTTCCAGACTGAAGAAAGTCACTACATTAGCATTACTGGCAGTTTCTTAACAGATAACCTGAAAGGGAGCGCCAAAACCATGGCCAGGGTTTACTGAGGGCTTAGTCTGTGCCAGATATGATATTAGAGTATCTGGCCCTCATAATGACGCTTAGGGCTTGATACCATCATTAGCCCCATTTTATGGATGGCAAAACTGAGGTATGAAAGGGTGCCCGAGGTCACACACACAGCTTTGAGTGGCTGAACGGGGATCCCGGTAGAGAAAGCCTCCTACTGTTCAGGGAATGAAAAACTGTACATTATACCATAGGAGAATCCATAGATTTCTTCCTTTATCATATTTTAACTGGGAACCTCATAATTTCACCAGGATGCTGTGCCTGTTTTACATAGATGGCCCTTAGCAAGAATGGGTGTTTAAGGTAGGAAAACATCAAATGCCCTCAGGAAAGATGACTACAGGATTTTAGGAAACTCAGGGAGTGTCAGCGAGGGGAGGTTCACCTAACCGGAAGTTTAGGGAATAGGAATAGAAAGCCCTTACTCAGCCCAGAGCTGCCACTTCAGAAACGTCTCTACAAGTCACAGTCCATTATTGTTAACAATTATTCCACCTCTCCCCCCTCTTAATTAAAAGAAAATTCCTTTTCCTCTTTCTCTTTCTTTTCTCCGTCCCCTCCTCCCCCAACCAAAACTGGACTGACTACTGGTTAATCCACTCAGAAGACCCGATTGGGTGTGAATGCTACATTTGCATCCCAAAGGAGAAGAATTCTGTGTGCTGCAGCTATTCAGGGTAGGTGTGGAGAAAGGTTCTGGAGGCTCTGGATCCTTCCAAACTCATCCCCCACCCACCCCCATCCCTCTTCACCTCTGGCAGCTGTTTGCACAGCTCGGATCCCCACCCAGAGACACCAGGCAGAAGTCTGTGGGGCCCTGGGCCCAGAATCCCTGAGATTTACTTCAGTGAATATCCTAAAAGGGCAGAATTCTACTTCTCCAAGCTTTCTGTGTGGTTGTAAACCTCTCCAAGATGGGATCCAGGCCTTTTCTTTCATATAAAGACATTCATTAAATACCTGCTCCTCCATGAGGAATTTTTCCAATACCCTGGTAACAGAAAACAGAAAACACACTTGGAGAATGTCATTTCAAGTTTAATTTACAGACTGATTGAATTAACTATTTTTTCCCCTTCTTTTCTTTTCTTTTCTTTCCTTTTTTCCTTCTTTCTCTCATTTCTCCCTCCCTCCTTCCTTCCTTTCTTTTTTCTTTCTTTTTCTTTCTTCCTTTCTTCGTTTCTTTCTAATTCTTCTCTTCTCTTCCCTTCCTTTCCCTTGTTTCTTTCCCATTTTGGTCCTGCAAGGTGCTAGGTGTGTGTATTACCTGATTCAGAACCAACTGCCCTTGGCTGCAGGGAGGCTCATTCTTTGAAAGGCCCCTAATTGCTTTCTGTTAAAGGGCGTGTATGTCCCTTTTGATGTGATAAGAAAAACACGAACCATTTTCCTTTCTTGAAACCATACCTCCCGTGCCTCTTTAAAATAAACTTTTCTGTGAGCGGGGAGAGAAAAAAAAAAAGAACCCACCTGCACTTAGTTCATAAGTTCTATAGAGTTTGAAAGCCAGACATGTCGTACTCGCTCAGATAAAGTTTTCTCTTATTTTGTTGTTTTGAGTGAATTTGGTGCTTTCAGCTACTTCAGAAATCCTACCATGGTAGTAAGATGCTTCCCGTCAACCTTTCCAAATCTTTATAATAATGTGAGCTTTGTTGTAAATGTGAAATCAATCTAGAAGCAGGAATACATTAGCTTACCGCCTGTTTTATAGTTTCCTCTTCTCAGCCTTGTTATTTTCAGAGCACACACATTGAGCAACTTGTTTCTGAATTAAAGTATTGCTCAATCTGCTTGCTTTCTTAAGAATTACATTAAACCACTAAACTAGGTACGAATGGGATCCCGGTTTTGAACCAGGCAGTCGTGAACTTTTAAAGTTTAGTCTGCCAAGATGAGTCAGTGTGATGGATTTATTAATTAGTGAAAGCCATCCTCTGAAATTACCCCGCATTAATCACAATTCATGAAAAATATATTCAATTAGTTTGAAGATACAGATTTGACGAACTGTCCTTTCTTCAGAGAGCACAGTTGATTTTATGAACTCTTGCTGGATAAATCATTCATGTTCAGCCTGAAATGATGAGTGGTTGGGGGAATTCCCAAAAGGACAAGGGACTCGTTCTAGCAAAGCTGAAAGCCGATGCAGTACAGAGACGGGGAGGCCCAGAGAAGCAGGAAACGGGATCCTGACAGTTCTGGATCTGCTGGTATCTGCTGCCACTTGTATTAAAGGAATCGACTTGCATTGGGTTTTTCTGAGTCAAAGGCTGGTGAAAATATACAAACCCACACAGGCAGGAAACCCCAGCTGCCAGAACTCCACCTTTTGGTTAAGGGTGGCTAATGCCTGTCCAGGGCCAAAATAAACAGATCCACTGGTGAAAAGGTGGACTGACGAGTCACCTGGCGTCTGGAATGTCCTCCTGTGTGTGACCCAAATCCTATGCCTGCAAAAACTGTATACATTATATAACTTAAAAAAATCCCGTCTCCCAATGGACCCACTTTACAGATGAGGAAACAGAAGGTCCTATAGGATCAGTGCAAAATAATATGGCAAATTCAAGACCAGAATCAGAAGACCCCAAGGCAAGCGAAATAGCTTTCCTCAGCCTGAATTTCCCTTCATATAATGAAAGAGTTGGAATAAACAAAATTGTATGATTTCCAGTTCTCAAGTGCTGTGGTTTTAGTATTTTGATTTCAGGTCGACTTTCTCAAGAACTTCACTGAGCCTGAGTATTTATATGTGTATAAACATATCTGAATATACATATATATATATACATGAAAATATTACACTTCAACTTCAAGTTCTATAGAAACAAAGCTTAAATGATTTGCATATGACAGAATTTTTAAAACATATTTCTGATGTGTCCACTTCCTATTACTACATGTGGGTTTTTTGACCTACTGACTATAGAAGAAAAAAAAGGGAAGCCGGATGTTTCTGCAGAATTTTAATTCTCCATTTTTTAGATAAAATGAAAACGAGAGAAGTATGGGAAAAGAGTGAGTCTTCTAAAACCCTCCTCATTCTTGTAGGGCCAAGATCGAAATATCTAGGTCTTCTTAGAAAAGAAAATGCTGCCACGCGGATCTGCCCGAATAGCAGAACAGTGAATTTTGGTGAATTCATCTCCTAAAGATAGTTCACTGTCGGTGGCGTGTGGTTCCTGAGTTAACTTGTGAGCCAAGAGATTAATCAGAAATGCAGTGAGGAGTAGGATTCAGGGAGACTTTAAAAAAGAGGCAGACAATGCCCATCGGTAATATTATTGGAGGAACTCTTTCCCTTTCTTGACATGCTAGACATTTTATAAAGTAAAGTGCAAAACCCTCTCGAGTATTAATGGGCTCTCAAGTACTTTGGATTATTAAGAGATGGAGAGAGAGAGAGAGTGCTGTGTCACACACTGGGAAAATCGTACATGCACAGGCACCGAAAAACAAAGGAAGCTTCCATATTTAGAAGCAAGAGTAGTTTGGAAAGACAACTGTGGGAGATGAATTTACTGCTTCCTTAACTTTGAACCCCTGAGCTCTCGATCACTCCCCCACCCGTAGCAGGCTTCAGTTCTGCACCTGAGGAAGTTAAATCGGAGGCTGAACCATCCCTGGGCTGAGCCCGCCCTCCGCCCAAGCTGCCCTTGCATCAAGAATCCTCACTCCGCTTCAAAAAGGAAAGTGTGTTTTGTGATCGTTCAAATGCCGCCTTGCGAGCAAAATGCATAGCGAGGAATGCTACCTTTGGGGATGAATTTACAGAGCAACTGAACTGAGCTGAACTTTTTCTTTTTTTCTTTCATTCTGAAGGCCTCTGGGGAAGTTGATAAAGTTATGATTTATCGCTTAGCGAGGGACATTCCAAAACAGCACTTTGTTTAATTTTGCTTTTTTTT